TGGAGTGGGAGTGAGTTACAGGCACTCTGGAATGAGAGTGAGTTACAGGTGCACAGGAATGGGAGTGAGTTATAGGCGCTCTGGAACGTGACAGAATTACAGGTGCTCTAGAATGAAGAGTGAGTTACAGGCACTCTGGGATGGGAGTGAGTTACAGGCATTTTGGAGTGGGAGTGAGTCACAGGTGCACTGGAATGGGAGTGAGTTACAGGCGCTATGGAATGAGAGTGAGTTACAGGCACTCTGGAGTGGGAGTGAGTCACAGGTGCACGGGAATGGGAGTGAGTTACAGGCGCTATGGAATGGAAATAAGTTACAGGCGCTATGGAATGGGAGTGAGTCACAGGTGCACTGGAATGGGAATGAGTTACAGACGCTCTGGAATGACAGTGAGTTACAGGTGCATAGGAATGAGAGTGTGTTACATGAGCTCTGGAATGAGAGTGAGTTACAGGCACTATGGAATGGGAGTGAGTTACAGGCGCTATGGAATGGGAGTGAGTTACAGGCGCTGTGGAATGGGACTGAGTCACTGATGCACTGGAATGAGTGAGTTACAGGCACTCCGGAATGGGAATGAATTACAGGCGATCTGGAATGGAAAGTGACTTGCAGGCACTCTGGAATGGGAGAGGGAACATTGGACAGAGGGGTACCCTGGAATGTGAAGGGAGGAGGTACCAGAAGTGGGTAGGTATAGGGGGAGACCCTGGAATGGGGTGGTGCAAGAATGGCCCAGGAGCTGGAGGCCCTCTCCCTGGCTCTTCCTCCCAACTTTGGCTCCTCCTCCCAACTCTGGCTCCCATCTTGCCCTCCCCAACAACCTCCCCTTCATTCTCTCCCAGATCCTGATCTCGCTTCTTCTTGCATCCTCCCCAGTTCTCCCAATGCTTCCTGGTCCCTGTCTCCCCTCATCACCCCTAAACCCTCTCCCAGGCTGCGTCCCCCTGAAATCTGCATGCACACAATTTAAAACTGCTTAGTGCATGCAGCAGTGTCAGCAAACAGAGCCTACCAAAAATCTTTCAGTCTAAGATTTAAAATTAACAATTGAATAGGAAAGGTTTAGAGGGAGATAACACAGTGTGGAGCTGGAGGAACACAGCAGGCCAGGCAGCATCAGAGGAGCAGGAAAGTTGACGTCTCGGGTCAGGACCCTTCTTCAGAAAAAGGGTCCTGACCCAAAGCATCAGCTTTCCTGCTCCACACTGTGTTATCTCTGCCTCCAGCATGGGCAGTTCTTATTATCTCTGACCAGGTTTAGAGGGATATGGGCCAAACGCTGGCAAATGGAATTAGTTCAGGTTAGGAAACGTGGTTGGATTGGGTCGAAGGGCTGTTTCCATGTTGTGTGACTCTATGATCTTTGATCTATCTATGACAGTAACTCACAGGCACTCTGGAATGAGAGTGAATCACAGACGCACTGGAACAAAGGTGACTCATAGGCATTTTGGAATGAGGGTGAATCGCAGACGCTCTGGAATGCAGAGTCAGTCACTGAGTTCTGTCATGTGAGTGATTTTTCAGACATAATTGCATGAAATTTAGATCGCAAAGTGAAAACAGTTGTGCTTTAAATCATAACTGCTATAACATTGAAGGATAAATATGGACTGCTTACCTCCATTCCTGGTTCAGAGTTTGCGGCTATAAAAATTAAAACAACAGGATCAAAAACAGTCACTGAATTATAAACCTTACGAAAACAACACGTTTTCATCTTTTGCATGCTATTGCAGGTAATGTGGTTATTTTATATTGTTAACAAGAGGAGTTTGAACCCCTCTGATAATTACCATTGAAACACAAGCCCCCAATCTGTTGCAGTGGGAGTAGAGGTCCCCTTCCAATAATTAAACCCAAAACACCCAGAGAAGCTCAACTCACCTTGCCTAATTTGTTAAACTGTTACAAGGAAGCTGGGGAGGGGGTCGGGGGGGGTTAAATGAAAAAAAATCCCTGATATTCACTTTATAAGTAACAAGTAACAATTTATTTATTTAACCCTAACAGTGAACAAATTAACAGAATTGCTAACAAACCAAACAATTCTCCCTTAACTACTAACTATTCCCTAACTGAACTAAATTCTCCTGGTATGCTGTTCCAATAAACATGTCCCACTTATATAAACCCAAGCAATCAGAAAATAAATTAAAACTTTAGTCCCTCAAAGTCTACATGTCTTTCTTCCACTGATCCAGCTGTCAGGGATGTTTTCTCTGTGAAGTCTGCTGTGAGGACTCTTAGCTAGAAGTGCTGTGGTACCTTTTATGGATAGATGGTGCTTTCTTTGAGAGCTTGGTGATTTCTTGTGAGCTAGCTGCTTATTTCTCAGACGGGTGTTTGCTCTCAAACTGATTTTTACAAACTCTCTCCTTATAGACCTTGGATGACACACCAATTTTCTTACAATAGCATTGTCAAAACCATCAGATTAAATTCAATTGGCTTTCAATCGCTAAGTGCTTGGTTTAAATTAATTGGCTGATTCCAGCTCATTGCCAAAATATCAAAACTAGCCTAAAGTTTCCAATCACACAACCAATTGATACATATTTCCATTTCAGAACTGGCTGTATATCTTCAGCAACATACAGGCACATTATTTTTCTGTATAAATCTCTAAGCTTAGAAAAGCACTTTACCTCTTAAAGGAACCATGCACGCTACTCTTTATCATTTTTTTTACCAACAGATTCTAGCTTCCTGCCTTCCAATTCATGATTACTCTACACAATTTCATAACACCTCCTCCCCTTGAGAAAAAAATGAGCAAAAATTATGAAAGGATGGCTTCATTTTTAAAAAAAAATCTTAACAATAATTATCACGAGATACATTGGTCAGTAATCTAAAGTTACACCTTTCATACTAATTCTGTATATATGTATACATATATATATAAAACATTGGACCCGTACCGGTTCTATCTCATCTGCACATTTTCTTTTAAACCAGTGAAAGTGCATCTGCAATAACATTTTTACAACCCACAACATGTAACATCTATAAAATAAAAGCCTGTAACATAAGGCTCCAATGAAATAGTTTTGTATTCTGGTCCTTAAATCTTTCCAAATAAGTGAGAGTGTTGTGGTCTGTATTCACAACTGTATCCGAAACATTGGTTGTAACATAAACACTAAGACGTTATAAGGTGATACCAAACACAATAACTCTTTTTCAGTACTGGAGTATTTTCTCTGGTGGATTTTGAGTTTCTTTGAAAAATAACCAATTGGCCTTTCAATTCCACCATCACCCTCCTGCATCATCACAGCTCCAACCCCTACATTGCTGGCATTGATAGTGACTTTGAAGTTTTTGAAGAAATTTGGTGTAGCTTAAACTGGTGTGGAGGTTAACGTGGCTTTTAAATTCTCAAATACCTTGTTGCATTGTTCTGTCTACCACAATTGCATGTTCTTCTTAGCAAATCCATCTACAGAGCTACCACGCTACTAACGTTTGGTACAAACTTCCAGTCGAATCCGCTCAGTCCCAAAAATCGAAGCAGAAATTGAGGATGGTCTTGGAAATTCCTCAATGGCCTTTGTCTTCACATTCCTCTGGGGTCAACCCTCCATGTCTGATTTTGTGTCCTAAGAATGTTACTTTGCGAATTCAGTTTTTGCTAAACTTATAATCAATTCTCCCTCCGTAGTTTTTCAAAGAACTCTGCCAAATGCACCATGTGATCTTTCCATGAATGGCTAAAGATCACTAAGCCATCTATATAGACGGTACAATTAGTCAATCCTGCCATAACTCTGTTCATAAGTCTTTGAAATGTGGCTGGTGCATTCTTCATTCCAAAGGGCATTACTTTAAATTGATACAGCCCATTTGGGGTCACAAATGCAGAAACGTCTTTCGCTCTCTCTGACAAAGGTACTCGCCAATAACCATGAAGTAAGTCTAAATTTGTAATGTAAGCTTCTGATGTCACCTCTCCAATGATCCCTGGGATTCAGGATGGTACGTACTTGATTTAAAGTGTTGAATGCTTAAACCATCCATGACCTCCTTAAACAGTTTGGCAGTAAAATTGGACCCTTGGTCTGACTGAATCTTCGTGGGGTAGTCCGGGGTAAAGAAAACAAGCAACTCTTCCACAACCATTTTTTTGCCTTGATATTCCGTAATGGAATTGCCTCCAAAAATCTGCTAGACACATCCATTATGGTTAGCAAATACTGATTCCCGCTTTTGGTTTTAGGGAGGGGACCTATACAATCAATCATAACCTGCATGAAAGGTTCTTCAAATGTGGGAATTGGCATCAAATGTATAGGTTCTATTCCTGCCTGTGGCTTTCCTACCATTTGACACGTATGACAGCTACAGCAAAATTCACCCACTCCTTATCATTTCTGGAAGTGAGTTTTTAAACTCCTCCGGCAGAATAATCTCTCTAAGACTCTCATATGTCTTTTCTATTTTTAATGCTCTCACCCATCTATGGAAGTTGCTATGTTTAATTTTTTCAAACTCGATATATGTCTGACCTGGTTCCTTTCTTACATTTCTAAACCATTGTCTATATTGATCGAACTAGAGAGCCTGTGAGGATATTCCTTCATATAAAATGCTGGTTACATCCCTGCCGAGCGTGATGCAATACTTGTTCCAGCTGGGCACAGATTATGGATACTGAGATTGAACAGTGAAGGTCCTTACTGATCCTTAGGCCTCATTAAGTGAAGATGGAATCATTAATGACAATCATTTGTTCCTGGAATCACTTTGGCCCCCAGGTGAATGAGGAAGACTGTGTGATTGGGATTTGAGGTGGGCCAAGGGCAATTGGTGGGTTGTGGGTGTAGGAAGCAGTGGTTGGGGGAGGAAAAATTTATGTCTGGCAGATCACTGCCTGTGTTACTGTCTTATAGGGTTGGGACATGCAGTCCTGCACATCTCAGCTCTGGATACATTTATGAGGGCCTTCCTCATGATTTGTGCCACATTGCACTGTGTGGGTTCAGCATGTGTAATATGCTCGAGGATAGCACCATTGAACACGGATCCTGAAAGAGGTGCAGTACTCCAATGTGATTGACAAGTTTTCTTAACACGCTTCACTAATGCAAACATATTCACATTCCAATTTGAGGTGTGGTGCACTTCAGGCTTGTAAGAACCAAGACTATACTCAATACGAGAAGGTTCAGCTGCTTGAAAGACAGGTGCTATACAGCTTAGTTTCTCAGCATTAATATATTATAGGCAGTTTTAAAAGCATGACAGTCAATGTCTTCACTTAGTGGCAATTTTGATATTATTCTAAATTGCAATTCAACAAGAGTGAAGCTGAGAAATGGTTTCAAATATTACAATAATGCATTGGGCTTCATTTGGAGCATATTGATGAAGATGGAAATGATTTGAAACTACTTATAGTTGCGAATTCTTTATACTGGAGGGATGGAGCACAGTAGGCATTTAGGAAAGTTTAACACCATTCCCAAAACTATCATATTATTCAGAGTCAGATCCATTCAGGAACAAAAACAGAAGTTGCTGGAAAACCTCAGCAGGTCTGGCAGCATCTATGAAGAAAAAAATCAGAGTTAACGTTTCAAGTCCGGTGACCCTTCCTCAGAACTGATGGTAGCTGGGAGAATGTCAGCTTATATGCAGAAAATAGGGAGGGGTGTGGTTTAGGGAGTAAACTTCTGTTTTTGATAAAGACTTCGCAACTATATAAATAAGTAGTTTCAAATCCTCTCCATCTTCATCAATATGCTCCAAATTAAGCCCAATGCATTCTTGTAATATTAAAAACCATCACTCTTGTTGAATTGCAATTTAGAATAATATCAAAATTGCTATTAAGTGAAGACATTGACAGTCATGTTTTTTTTTTGCGAGCTTCATTTCCCCAAAGTAAAGGAGATCACATTATGAGCAGCGAAGGCAGTAGACTGATTGTGGGAATTGCAGGTGAAGTGTTGCTTCACCTGGAAGGTAAGTTTGGGCCCTTGGATACTGGGGAGGAAGGAGTTAAATGGGCAGGTGTTGCACCTTCGCCGGTTACAGGGGAAGGTGCCGTAGGGCTGTGGAAGGGCTGATGGGGGTGAAGGAAGTGTGGACCAGGGTGTCCCGGAGGGAACGGTCCCTGCAGAAAGCGGACAAGGGAGGGGAGGGGAATATGTGTCTGGTGGTGGCATCTTGCTGGAGATGACAGAAATGGCGTCTGATGATCTTCTGGATGTGGATGCTGGTGGGATGGTAGGTAAGGACAAGGGGAACCCTATTGCTGTTGAGGGAGGGAAGAGAAGGGGTGAGGGCGGAAGTGCGGGAGATGGGTCCGACCTGGTTGAGATCCCTGTCGACAACAGTGCTGGGGAATCCTCGGTTGAGGAAGAAGGTGGACATTTCGGAGACTCCCTTGTTGAAGTTGGGCTCATCTGAACGAATGCGATGGAGATGGAGGAACTGAGAGAATGGGATGGTGCCTTTACAGGAAGCAGGGTGTGAGAATGTACGGTCCAGGTAGCTGTCGGAGTCAATGAGTTTAATGTGGATATTAGTGGCCAGTCTATCCCCAGAAATGGAAACGGAGATGTCGAAGAAGGAAAGGGAGGAGTCAGAGATAGACCAGGTGAAAGTGAGGGCAGGGTGAAAATTGGAAGCGAAATCAACAAGCTTTTCTAATTGCAGACGAGAGAGGGATGCAGCAGCAATGATATCATCAATACATCGGAGAAAGTGTTGTGGGTGTGGGCTGGAATGGGACTGGAACAAGGAATGTTCCACGTACCCCATGAAGAGACAGGCATAACTGGGGCCCGTGGACGTACCCATGGCAACCCCTCTGACCTGAACAAAGTGAGAGGAGTTAAAAGAGAAGTTGTTGAGGGTGAGGACAAGCTCCGCCAAGCGGAGGAGGGTGGTGGATGAGGATGATTCAGGCCTTTGGCCAGGAAGAAGCGGAGAGCCCTAAGACCCTCCTGGTGGGGAATGGACGTGTAAAGGAATTGTACATCCATGGTAAAGAGGAGGTGGCTGGAGCCGGTAAACTGGAAGTTTTGAAACTGGCCTAAAGCATCAGAGGAATGTACGTGAGCAAGGATTGGCCCAGGGGAGATAAGACTGAGTCAAGGCAGGAGGAGATGAGTTCTGTGGGGCAGGAGCAGGCTGAAACAATGGGTCTGCCCGGATAGTCCTGTTTGTGGATCCACAAATTCACAAATCCACAAATCCATCCTACCATCCCACCAGCATTCACATCCAGAAGATCATCAGATGCTATTTCTGCCACCTCCAGCAAGATGCCACCACCAGACACATATTCCTCTCCCCTCCCTTGTCCATCTTCCGCAGGGACCATTCCCTCTGGGACTCCCTGGTCCACTCTTCCTTCACTCCCAACACTCCCCACAGCCCCTCGGCACCTTCCCCTCGGCAACCAGCAAAGATGCAATACCTGCCCTCTTACCTCCACCTCCTCCCTCCCCAGTATCCAAGGGCCCAAACATACCTTTCAGGTGAAGCAACACTTCACCTGCAATTCCCAGAATCTGGTCTACTGCATTCGCTGCTCACAATGTGGTCTCCTCTACATTGGGGAAACGAAGTGTTGACTGGGTGACCACTTCACAGAACATCTATGTTCTGCTTGCAAAAAAGACGCTGAGCTAGCTGTTACCTGCCACTTTAACGCACCACCCTGTTCCCTGGCCAACATCTCTGTCTCTGGCTTGCTGCTGTGTTCCAGTGAAGGTCAGAGCAAGCTGGAAGAACACCACCTCATTTTCCGCTTGGGGACCCTGCAGCCCTCTGGACTCACTATCGAATTCAATAATTTTACAGCTTTAACTCTCCCATGTCCTAGCTCCCAACCCCACACACCGGATCTTTGTGATCACATAACCTGCTATTACACAGTACCTATTGTTAGTCACTAACAGTCCCCATTAACAGCCAGATCGCTATCCACTCCTTGTCTATCCAACTGCTCTTCACTGTCTTTGGGTTCTATCCTTTATCCTATCATTTACTCCTTATCCCACCCCCCAGTCTACCTTCTGCATATAGACCGACGTTTTCCCAGCTACCATCAGTTCTGAGAAGGGATCACCAGACCCAAAACATGAACTCTGACGTTTCCTACACAGATGCTGCCAGACCTGCTGAACTTTTCCAGCAGCTTCTGTTTTTGTTCCTGATTTACAGCATCCGCAATTCTTTCGGTTTTTATTCAATTCCATTCAGGTTTGGAGTCAAACTCTTCTCTTACCTTTAGCAGGACGTAAAACTCTCTCGTGAACAAGTGAGGCAGCATCACAAATACGCTTTTAAAGAAAATCTCGTGATGATGAAGTTGCTCTCGAGAACAACCAGTGTAGTTCACCCCTCATTGTCACTTCAGCTTTTAACCAATTTCAGATCAGAAGATATAAGGTGCTTATACAATTAAGTTCATTAGTAGTAAGTCTACAATGTCATTCAGAAAACAAAATAACAAGAAATAAACAAGAATGCTGGGAGTGATTAAAGTCCATGATAGCAGACAATGGAATTAAGAGGAACTTACCCATGACATAGAATAAGAACAGGGAAAAAAGAACAAAACCTGAGAACAGTCTCATTTTCCTGCATTGGTTGAGTCAGTACTGTGCAGTTGTTTACTTGTAATGTATGATGAAGCTGGTTTATATAAATAGATGGATTCTCAGTGACACATTGCGCAATGTCAAACATGCAGTGGGTTAATGATTACAGAAAATGACAGAGTGCATGTTTCTGAGTCAAAATGTATCAATATTGTTAAATGCGTCAATGACATAGATAAATATCAAACCTACAAAGACCCAGTCACAAATAAGCCATCCAGATTGTCTATACTTTCACTGGAGTACACAGTGAACTCTGTCTCATTCCACTCCTGTCGAAAACAGAAAGAAACAACGAATAATGACAATCAGAAATGTTCAAATTTATAAAGCTTTAATGAAAGATTCTTAACTCCTTATCTCACTTGTCTTTATAAAAGACAAATTATGAGTCACAACAAGTGATACAATCACTATGTAATCTTTGTTTCAATGAAATAAAATCCGACTCCCATTTGAACACAGGGATGAACTTTCTACTTTGCTGCACCATCTAACTTAGATTGAAGAGTGGTTGCTGGCTTTTGCCCTGGATGTGACAGAGAAGGGGAGATCAGTGCCGCACTGTCTGGGCAGGGAGTTGGAGGGCGTGGTACAGAGTTGGGATTTCCTCAGGATCCACTGTGTAGGCTCCCAACCAGATTAAAGCTGTCTCTGCCCACTGGAGGAAGTGCTGTAGGAAGAAGGTCAAAGGCCTTCTGCACTCTGCCAGTGTAAGTGCCACCATCTTTGCTCTGATACCTCACTCTCACTCTATCTCTGACACTGTACTCACCTCTCACCAAGACTCATGTTCGATCACCCTCACTATTACCTGCAACATTTTCCCTCACTCTGTGATCTTCTACAACCCATGAAACTACTGACCCTGCATGCCCTCTGCGCTGCCTACTCAATTGCTCAGAACATCTCACCAGCTGTATTGGTTGTGCCACTCACTCTTATCTTCCATAATACCTGACTGTCTCTCATTCCAGGTCAAAAACTGCCCCTTAATAGGGCAGACAAAACCAAAACAGGTGGTGGACCTCCCAACATTCAGCTCCTCACGCCTCATCCATGGATAGGATCCTGACTCTGACCACTCTGCGTGCCTGATTAACTGTGTTCAAGCCCCTGAACTGGTATCAGAGGATACCCTTGCCTTGCTGTGCTGGAACCCCCTAAGTGAAGGACTATCCCCTTTGACTGCAGCCTGCTGTTAATCAGGACAGGTTTCCAGGCTTTGTGTCTGTACTAAACTGCAAGGCAGTAATCTTAGCTTGGTATCTCTCACTGATGGAACCAAAGTGTTGAAAGGCAGGGGAAGACAGGGATGCTGTGAGCATCTAGGTAGGGTCAGAGTGAGTGAGTGCTAGGACAGCAAGTGAAGAGCTTGGAGACACAGCCTGGTCTAGTCACTGAGCTGGCTGTGTGTCCCTGAGCAAACAGTCCTTGCTGCAACATTACACCGAGAGTTACTGGGGCAGACGGAGGTGCTGCATTGAATTACAGAAGCACCCTGTAAGTGGATCCCAAATGCACCTTGAGGGTTCCTAAAGGCTGGCACGTATCAGATGCCAGTGCCCTGCGAAGTCCATGTGACCAGTGCTCTTGGAGCGTGCCCTGAGATGCTGGTACCTTCCAACATAGAGATCCTTCACGCAAGTTGTGAATTGAGGTTGCCTTTGACTTCCATGTTGAGTCGAGTCGACATCTAGCTCGATTGGTATGATAGGAAGCTAATGACATGAGCCGGGCGGTAACAAGGCATTTAACAAGCTATATTCCCCCTCAAATGGCAACTTGCCACTGCAATAAGGTCTCCATGCTGCTTGTTACGAGTATAAAATATGGAGCGATATAATCTCAATGTTGAGCTTGGCCTCACGATGTCTTGTCCAATTCCAATTCCATCACAATTCTCACCGTAGCACACATCACACTCAGACCCCAATAGGGTTCTGCTCTGTGTCTCTATCATGGCAACCAAGTCATACCCATTTGCCTCTATTTTGTTCTTCAGATCATTCAGATTCAGTTGCGAATGCTATATGCATTCAGATGGAGTGTCCTCAACATGTCCTTTGTCATATAATTCTGCATTCTGATCCTAATGTTTGCCTTTGCTTCATCCGTCTTCTAAATTCGCCCATTACCTTTCTACATCATGCAACCAGTTTGCACCTCTCAAATCTGAGCTCCCTCTTTGGTTTCCATCCCACTGCCAACTTAGTCTGAACCTTCCTCAACAGTACCAGCAGATCTCCACACAAGGATGTTAGTTTCTGTCCAACTAATGTACAATCCATCCGTCTTGTACAGGCCACAGCTGCCCCCGAAATGGTCCCCATGCCACAGAAATCTGATGCTCTCTCTCTTACACCAGTTCTTCAGCCATGTGTTCAATTATTGAATACTTCTATCTTACGTTCACTATCATCTGGCACTCGAAGGTAATCCTGCAATTGCTGTTTTTGAGGTCCTGCTTTTAAATTTATTTCTGCAGTAGGTGACATTACTAGAGCTTGGGTGCACAAATATGACCATTTGAAGGTAGCATTAAATGGTGTTCAAATTAGCATCCATAGAAACCATCACCGAAAAGAAGTAACCAAAGCCAAATTAAGGCTTTGAAAGAAATTTGATGAAAGTCCAAGACAGGCTGTCAGAGCCTCTAGATAACTCCTGTGTATCTCAGGGTCCTAAGAGTGATTAGTAGGATGATTTGTGAAGCATTGATACTCGTTACCAGGGACTTATTCAACCCTGGGCGGTAGAAATAGACTGGAAACAGTCTCATCTAGTTTTCCATATTCAAAAGGTGGTGGCATCACAAACATGGACCAATACAGTTCCTTTGGACCCTTCTGTTCCACGGCCACTACAAGGATTGTTGTGCATTGCAAACACCACAAATGTATTAGAATTTAACTTGAAGTTTCTTTTTCCTTGCTGATTTTATGGTTAAGCTCTTTTACCAAATCTGTCCCTTTATAGAACAGACCGGCACATTTAAAAAAAAGTTGATGATATTGCAGCAGTGCAATATATCATAGAAACTACCTCTTGATTGCTTGATTTTAATTCAACTGTATGCAATGATTGAGATTATTTATCAAAAGCTTTCTTATGATGTGGAGGTGCTGGTGCTGGGTGGACAAAGTAAAAAGTCACATGACACCAGGTTATAGTCCAACAAATTTATTTGAATCACAAGGTTTTCGAGCGTTGTCCCCTTTTCCCATTGTATATGATCTCATATTAAGGATAAATTCAAATTACATAGCTTTAAATATAATCCAATGAAATTGCATTTAAGAAACAGTGACCAAAGTGCAAAGTTGAGATTGTGATATCAGATGTAAATATAGTGATTACACAACAACATTCTTTAATTATGCTGTACTTGGTATATTGTTTCTCATTTCTCACCACCAACAGAAATTACATTAAACTTGATTAATTTCTTAATTGCACACCAAATGAAGAATGAATCTTAAAGAATGAAATCAATTGAATCAAAGAAATCCTGGTTTTCTGGAAACCTTTGCTTGCCATTATTGTTACTTCAACATTCTCCATACTTTCGGATCCGGATGTTTTTCCCAACATTCCCGGAATAGCAACAGAGCATTAGTACAATCAAAGTCTAAAGCAAAGACACTTATTTGTAATGTAAGTATTTAGCAATGGTGCAGCCTGGCTGCTTAGTTTTGGAGAGTTCCTGTAGCTCTTGTTTGTTTTAATCTCCTCTGCTTGTGAAAAAAAATAGAGGCTTATTTTAACCTTTATTGCCAAATTAAGGAGGTTGTAGGATGTAAATTTTACATCTTGCTCAGTTTTCCTTCCATTTCATTTCACTTCACTAATAAGTTGTACAATGGAGCTCTGATTTGTTAATCTCAATTTGTTCCCTATCCTATGTAGATAGGGTAAGGTGCAGCATAAGATGATCAGTGTAACTGAAATATTGGCATAGGTCTGAATGGTGTAATTGTGTGCTTAAATAATACATTATTCTCTGTATATGACTAGTTGTAAATGATCACTCAACCAGGTCCACCTTGTTGGTGCAATTTAGAATCATCAATAAATGTGGCTTTGCCTGCATCTGAAGAACAGGTTTTTAAAAGTGCTGTTAGTTGTACACTATTGGTTTGTAGAGTTTACTGACATAATAGTAGGGACTACAGATCAAAAGTAATCCATTGATTATGAAAGGTCTGAAGGTGCTATATTGAAGTGAGAGAGTTAGGAAAACACAAATTCCTAACTTTCCTCTGAGGAAGGGTCACTAGACTCAAAATGTAAATCCTGTTTTCTATCCACAGATGCTGCCAGACCGATTGAGTTTCTCTAGCAATTTTTGCTTTCGTTTCAGATTACCAGCTTCCACAGTTCTTGGTTTTGTTTTAATACATAGTCTTGTAAACTTTGTTTTTGAAACAGGAAAAATAAATATTTTCAAAACTTATCCTCCAATTGGTGCTGACGAGAATGTTCCCATCTTAAAAAGCTGAAAACATTCAACAGTACCAATTTCTTTTCGGTTTCTACAACAGTTTCATTGTCTGTATCACCTCATTGCACAAAGCATGCATGTACTCCTGTACGTTTTACCATCAGTTCCACAGATTGGGTTGTAATCCATGCTGCAAATTTCAGTCTCCTGGTTTGGTGGCAGTCAGTTTGGCTACAATACCAAACAGAATCATTTGTCATTACTGAATAATTTGACTTAACAAATGTTCTCAAACAGACAAAGAAAAGAGATGCTGCAAAAGTCTGTGTTTGCTACTGGAATTGCCAGGGCCATTCTTCTCACTGCATGGCACATCACAGGCAGTAACTTCCTGCAAAGATACCCATCAAGCACTGACCGCTCCTAACCCTCACTGCCTCACTTGTCACTTTCCTAGCCACTCACCTCCTGCTCGCTGTCCCACTTGCCCTTCCCTCTGTGAGGAGCGAGTGAAGTGGCGAGCAGTAGGGTGAGGGAACAGGGAGCGAGCGAGCAAGAAGCAGCGAGAAAAGGTTCACCACAATAACATAAGC